GCTTGAGCCCGGGAGTTGGAGGTTGCTGTGAGTTGTGAAGCTACAGCACTCTACCCAGGGGGATAGCTTGAGACTCTGTCTCAAAAAAAAAAGAAATCTCCTTGGCTCAATATCCCGTGTTTTTGCTTACAGGGTCTATACCTTCCAGAAAGCCCTAGAGCACCATTCAGCCAAGTTCTTTGCCACTTTATAACAAGGATCGCTTTTCCTCTAGTTCCAATAACATGGTTCTCATTTCCATTGAGTGCAAGACTTCCAGCTTACACCTCCACACTCTTCCAGCTTCGACACACGTTACCTGGTTCCAAGGGCGTTTCCATAGTGGCCCCCGACTCCTGGTACTAAAATATGCATTAGCCATCAAGTTGGTGCAAGGAATTGACTCACATGACTGTGGGGCTGGCAAATCTGAAACCTGCAGGGCAGGCTGGGCACTCAGGCCGGAGCTGATGCCGCTGTCTTGAGGAGGAATTTCTTCTTGCTCATAAGGCTTCTAACTGATCGTCTAATCCGGCAGGATTGCTCGACATCAGCTCGCGTAGATACATGTGCATCTCTCCAGGCTGGCGTCGGAAGGCCTGGATCCTTTTTTGGTGCCTACATGTTGGCTCTGAGCCCATGCTCTCCCTCTGTGGTGCCCAGTGGGCCTTGCCCAGGACGTGGGCCGCAGTTCTGACCTCCCCTGGGGGTTTCCGGGGGCACTTGACTTCCCTTGCTTGGCTGTTTCTGCATTTCAGCTATCGTGAGGCCTTAGATAACAGGTCCAGGGCCCGAGTTAGAATAATTTTCTGTAGGTATTGGTTTTGCTGCCACCCACCTGGCTGTGCATACGTCTGTGGGAGGAATTTTTTCCACTGAACTGAAATTTGATGAAGAGTTTTAAATGCTTTCTTTGAGGTTTCCCCCCCTCTCCAGTTATGGGGACTGCCTTGTATCTAATCAGAAAAATGGGACTCCCAGGTGGTGTGAGGCTCAACTGGTGGAGCCCTGTGGAGATACAGGACCTAGTGGGTGGGGTGTGGGGGCAGGGGTGGGTCTCCAACCTCTGGGCTTGTTGAATTCTTCACTGCTGTACGGGTAATTTGAGCTGTAGGGGTAATTCCCCCTGTGCTTTCCGGGTAGAGGTTCTAGCAATGAATTATCATCATGAAATGACAAGGGGCTTTGCGATACGCAGGTGTGGTGTACGGCAGAGTGAGAAGAAGTACGGCTGCCACGTGACGGCTGTGACTGTTCCTTGTGGCATTTGGCCTTCAGTGTTGTGAAAATATATTGTTCTGCAGGAGACACTTAATTGAATATGATTTCCTCTGCAGGTGGCGATCATCGCAGGCAACTTTGAGCTGGCCGAGTACATCAAGAACCACAAGGAAACAGACATCGGTAAGTGGACTCGTTGACGATCTGGAGAAGAACTCAGTTTGGCTAAGGAGACACTCACCAGCTTTTAAAAATTCTCCTGAGATTGACTCAGGAGAACCAGCTTTGTAACAACCTAACAGGGAACAATCTCCTTGTCTGGTCTTACATCTCTTCAGCCATCGTAGGGGTGGGGCTGAGGAAGGTGTACCTGCTTCTCTAGCTGATGTTCTCATCTCTTCCGACAGGCCCCACTGTAAGGTTTCTTTCCGTGCTAAGATCGTTGACTTTTGGCAAAGTGGGAAGAGGAACAGGAGATTCCCCCAGGAATTCCAGTGGACTCTGGGATTCTTCATCTTTTATGTAGCTGATTTTCCCAAATTTTGATAAACATTGACATGTGCCATTATATCTTTGTTCAAACTCTAGAACGTACCAGCCTCGTGTACACGATGGACTTTGGGTGGTGACGTAGGGTCATCGGTTGTAATAGCCGCACCTTTGGGGTGGGGTTGTCAGTACTGGGAGGCTGTACATGTGTGGCGGGCGGTGTACAGGCAAGACCTGTTTCTTCTGCTGAGTTTTACTGGGCACTGACAAGTGCTCTAAAAACAAAATCTACAGAGGAAAGAAATTAGGCAGGGTGACTTGCTAGGAGTTAGATGACAGACACAGGGCATTGCCCTTTGATTGGAGACTCAGATTTATTTACAGCTGATTTAGATGCGTTTCTTGGAAGATTCCACAACACACAAACTTCATCTGGGCAAAGAGCGGCGACTCAGCAGGGAGGGGGAGAGAGCCCGTGGCATGATCTCCCTTCCCTTCTGGTCACCTCCACTTCCACTTCCCACGATTGTGCTGACAACCCCTCCCCTTTTTAGTACCTCTTGTGCCAACCAGGAGGGCAGTTTCTGGGGCTCGTCCTCCCTTTCATCGCCCTGCCATCAGCTGGGCACAGTCTTGCACCTTGGATGAGCCCACTGGCCTGTGTCCTCCAGCCCCGGGCTTCCACGGGACCTGCAGTGGGGAGCAGCCCCGTTGGACCAGCAGCGGTGAGCTTGCGAACATGGAGCCTTCCCATCTCTGGGTGGGGAGGCGGGGGGCCTCCTGGTGCCTTGAGAAGTAGCTGCTTCTTACTGCCTGTGCCACCCACCCTGTTTGTGGTGTCGGGGGCAAGCAAAACCTTGTGTTTGCCTGTCAAGTCTCCACCGTGTCAAATGTGTGCCTTGCATCAAGTGTGGCTGGCACCCACCCTGCCTTGGAGAATTGCACAAGGTCATGGAGCCAGATGCTTTGCTTGCACGATCGAGTGCCCTGTGCTGAGCATCGGGGCCTCCGGGAGGCTGGGCACGATGCTGACACTCAGGGCCTCCTGTGAGCCGGGGCAAATCGCTTAATTGCTCTGAGATCCGGGGTGGCACCACAGCTGCATTAACACCTGTGTGAGCGCATTATCGAGACTGATGAGTTGACCTCTGCAAAGTGATTTAGAAAATGAACTGAGCTCTCAGAAGGCCAGAGACTGTCTTCCTACCTCCTCTCTAACAGCCAAGAGCGGTGCAATAGGGTAGGTTTGGTGTGAGGTCTAAAAATATTGGCTGCCATGTAGGGAATGGAGCTCTAGTCTTTAAGTGGGGGTACATGGTAAAGATGGGCAGGGAGTGAGCCCCAGGGCAGGTGTCCCTGGACCTGGACGCAGAGCCCCTCAAGCCCCAAGGAGTTTTCTGCAGTGGTCGCAAGCTCTGGGCTACCAGCATTATCCTTTTAAAGTGCTCACTGTGACGGGGACCTGCACAGCAAAGCAGGGGCGTCTTCCATATCCCTACTGTCTGGATGGAGCTGAGAGAACTCTGGGGCTGCTTCCCCAAACACTAAGCCAGGCCCTTCAGAGTCACAGCCCCACCCTCCTTCTTGGAATATATGGCATTAGAGGTAATAAGAGTTCACCTCTGAGCTGTTCACTGGGCCTGGCTTGTTGAACTAGCTAGTTCAGCTGGAATAAGGGGGAAAGCAAGGAACTGGGGAGTGGAAAGCGAGGCAGCGGGACCCTGATGTAACAGAATAGAAGCAGAGTTTTTTTTTTTTTTTTTTAAAGAGAAAGAGTAAAGGAAAGCAGAGATAAGCACAGGCTTTCCAGGAGAGTGGAAAAGGGTCCCTGGTGAGTGCGCGGAGCTGCCTCACAAAGGCAGGACACCCATGTAAGCACTTTCCTCCAATCCCACTGCTGCCCCTCAGGCCTCTGGGCGTGCTGTGCTGGTTTCACTGGTTGGGGGTTGCCTTAGTGGTCACATAAATCCAATTTTATTTACTCTGTATCAGTAATTATTAACTGCTGTTTTACTAGTGATGGGGTGGCGACCTCTGTTAGTCTCCTGATGTGTAAGGCATTATGGTGGGTATTGTTCTGTGAAGGAGATCCTTATCTTTGTTTTATGGGGGATCACTCCCAGACTAGAGGACAGGTGTCACAGGCTGGAAGTTCCATTTCACTAGAAGCCCAGGAACAGCGTAGACTTGATTAACTAGGTCATGCTGGGCAAAATTCCTCATTTTGCGTCTGACCCCTTTCCAACTTTTTTTTTTTTTTATTGTTGGGGATTCATTGAGGGTACAAAGAACCAGGTTGCATTGATTGCATTTGTTAAAGACCTTCTTATAATTGTGTCCTGCACCCCCAGAGGGGGGCCACACACGGTAACCCTCTCCCCCACTCTCCCCTTTCCCCACCGTCCACCGTGTACTAGGTCATTAATTGTCCTCATATCAGCATTGAGTACACAGGATTCCTGCTTCTCCATTCTTGTGATGCTTTACTAAGAATAATGTGTTCCACTTCCATCCAGGTTAATACAAAAGATATAAAGTCTCCATCTTTTTAAAAGGCTGAATAGTATTCCATGGTGTACCTACACCACGCCTGTTTAGCTGCTCCTTGACTGGGGGGCATTTAGGCTGTTTCTACACTTTGGTGATGGTAAATTGAGCTGCGGTAAACAGTCTAGGGCAAATGTCCTTATCTTTCCAACTTTGTTGTCCGGAGGCCACAATTCTCTCCACCACCTCGTAGCCCCTTAACCTCCTTCCATCCCCAATCACAGGGACCATGCACTAAACTTTCCAACCTCCAAACAGGATACCTTGCCTTCCCTTGAAGCACTAGGTTGATTTAAAAACCCAGCCCAGGGAAGATCATTGTCTTTTCACGTTTGAGATTATCTTCCCTATCTGTGACGTAAACGTCTCTTTACAGACAGTTTTTTTTTGTTGTTATAATAATAAAAGTAACAATGACTTTTTGGGTAAGTACATTATGATTACCACCCACCCATTCTGATCTGTTACTGATTTAAGTTACAAACAGCATCCCTATTAACAGAAGGGGCCCCTACAGGCTGCTGTGACTCCAGCTTTCGTGGTGCTGGGTTTCAGGTCTCAGGTTTCTGTGCACTTGTGAGTCACTCTGGGTTTGCAGTGGAGATGTGGGGCTGGCTCTCCGGTCAGCGGAGCACGGGTGCAGCAATGTCCACCTCTATTTGTTACTGCTTTTTAGGGCTTTCCCAGAGCCCCAAAGGGAAAGGATAGTTTAGAAAATCTGCACTTCCCCACAGGGTTTCTTCTGCACCTCCAAAGAAGCAAAGCAAAAGAACTCTTCTGTTATCTAAGTCGTGGAAGGATTTGTGATCACGAACTAGCACACTGCGTCAGTGCGGACGGGCCTTCTAAACCTACGTTGTGGCAAAATTCCCAGAAAGAGAGGGAGAGAGAGGGATTAAGGGCAGGAAGGCTGAGGTCCTCTGTGAACCCGGACAGCTCCCGGTGTGTGGACTGATGGAAGCCTGGACGAGGATTATAAAATCTTGACTCAGACTATGTTTGAACCCAGTCGACCCTGGTCACCCTCACTTTGCCTGCCCTGCCTTTCTGGGTGGGGGCCGTGTTGAGTGTGTGTGGGGACGGGCTGACACTGTCTTCCCCCCTGGCTTGTGTGTTTGCCTACATGGGTCTTTATAACCCTGTGTGCAGGCCTTTGCCGTTGTCTAAGAAAGCTGTCCTACGTCTGGGTGAGTGAATAACCACAGGGATACAGCTGGCGCTTACTGAGCGCTGTGAACCCAGAGCCGACGTCCACCATCACGTTCATTCAGTTCTCCAAGTCTAGATGCAGCTGTGCCTGACAGAGGAGGAATCTGAGGCACTTGGAGCACTGGGGTTTGAGGGCAAATGGCGCATTGTGAAAGTGATACCGGGAAGCATCGGTGGGGGCAGAAGGAAGTAGGTAGGGGATGAGCGGACTCCTGGGTAGGCAGGTGAAGTATTTTAATGAGCAGTTGATTGCTTGGACCTCTGAGGCTCAGCCCCTCTGAGGTCCTCTGGGAAGCTGCCGAGAGCCTTGGCACTGAGACACAGTTCATGTGTTTACCTGCCAGTTCCCGTCCCTGGTTAGTTCAGACCTGTGCTGTGCTGCTCTGCTAGACTGGTGGGTGCCACCGACCATGCACAGGGAGGGTCCCTGACACAGGCAGCAGGATTTCTCCATTCTGCTTCCCTGTTTAGGCCCTATCCCTCTGTGGTCACCAGGGGTAAGCAATTCTCCGCTCTGGGCTAGCTCTCCGGATCTGCTAGACAGGAAGGGGCAGAACTAGAGGACGTCTGTGCCATGGTATTGAACCAAGCCTGGGGCCTGCAGAGGGGTTGTCTGAGAATCGGCAACTGAAGGATTAGGCACTGGCCCCGCAGGTCCCGGCAGCAACTCACAGTGGCCTCTGACCAGGGGAGCCTGAGCGCCCGTCTCCCATTTGGAAAGGAGTCATGACACGTCCCACCTGCAGAATCGGTTCTTTTTTTGGCAATTCCTGGATCCCCCTTCAACTTCCACATTCGTTACTAACATTTCAGTGAGAAGTGTCTTCCTCTTGACACTTGTCACCCACTGTGAAATACCAGGAAGCCCCAGGGATGCCCCTTCCCAGAATGTTCTCTGCAAGGTCAGCACCAAGGTCTGCCAGGGTCACCCTGGAGGC